TCTGGGAACTGCATCTCAGTTCCTTGGCATCAACATTAAAACTCTTCCAGATAAGTATTTCCTATCGCAATCTACGTATGCTCTTTCCTTACTTAAACAAACCAATCTTGACAAATGCAATTCTCTGTGTAATCCTTCCGTTATGAAGCAGCCAAAGCAACTCAGCTCCGTCGACAATCTCCCTGATGCCGCTACCTACAGACGGATTGCCGGTGCTCTGCAATATCTCACAATCACAAGACCTGATATAGCTCACGCCGTCAATACTCTCTCTCAGCATCTCCAAATTCCGGAACAAATTCACCTATATCTGCTCAAGAGGTTACTCCGATATATAAAAGGCACCATTAACTACGGTCTTCCCATCAGCAAATCATCTCTAACGCTTCGCACCTACTCCGACGCTGACTGGGCCGGTGATCCCGTAACGAGAAAATCTACATCCGGTTTCTGCACTTTCCTCGGCTCAACCATCATTTCCTGGACTGTCAAGAAACAAACGACAGTCTCTCGGTCGTCCACTGAATCTGAATACAGAGCCTTAGCTGCGGCCACCGCGGATACCATCTGGCTAAAAAGGCTTCTCGCTGATTTTCAGATCAGTCACGACGAACCAGTCTCGGTGTTCTGCGATAACACATCGGCGATTGCTCTGGCAAACAATCCGGTGTTTCACGCTAGAACGAAACACATAGAGATCGACCAGCGATTCATTCGGGATCACATTCAGCAACGCACAATAAATCTGCTACCCATCAGCACCGTCGACCAACTCGCAGATATTCTCACCAAACCGCTTCCTACTCTGCGCTTCAAGCAACTCAGGCTCAAACTGACGATCGACGACGAATCGGCAGTTTGCGGGGAGCTGTTAACACCTAAGTAATACGATTAGTGCTTATTATCCGTTATAGCCTTTTCTTGTAATCCAATGGCTAAGCTACACGTGTAAAGCAAACCTATCTCTATCTTTATAAATAGGTAGCTGTACTTGTTCTCTAGTAATGAAAATCACTTTATCTCCTTCGTGTCCTTTTTTGTTCTTGTCGTCTTCTTCACTGTTCATCTTCTTCAT